GTAAGTAAGTAAGTAAGTAAGTAAGTAAGTAAGTAAGTAAGTAGTAAGTAAGTAAGTAAGTAAGTAAGTAAGTAAGTAAGTAAGTAAGTAAGTAAGTAAGTAAGTAAGTAAGTAAGTAAGTAAGTAAGTAAGTAAGTAAGTAAGTAAGTAAGTAAGTAAGTAAGTAAGTAAGTAAGTAAGAAGTAAGTAAAGTAGCTAGGAATCGATTCTCATCAGAGAATTTCTAATTTTTCTGATTTCTCTGATCGTTAATAAATTAATAAATTTAAGTTTCATTAAAAAGCTATCGCACAACCTAACTTGGCTAAATACTTTTTTGCCTTAATTAAATTCAAAACAAATATTTATTACGTGGTAAATATGAAAACAAATATAAACGTCAACTTTCCTATTAAAATGTTAAAATTTCATATTTACAATAACTACTAAGTTACGAATTGCAGTTAAAATTTCAGAAAAAGGTAAAATCATGCAGTAGAGAAAATTAAATAGTTTTGAAAACTAAAACTTAAATATAAAGTTAGTGCTAATATGAAGATGAAGTGACAACTAAAAAACTACGTTAATACGCAGTAACTAAAAGAAGTAGATGACAATAAAACAATTTTTGTAATAAATTTTACAAAATTTAAATATAAACCAAAATAAAAACATTAGTTTCTATAGAGTAAATTTTGTCATGAATAAATTGGTAGATATGTCTCTTTGAGATACATTTTACATTAGAATTCGGTTAGTTAAGGTGGAAATTAACCGCGATTACAAACCTGACGGTATTTGGACTGCATGTAACAATAAATAGTAATACATATAGATTAATATATTAATGTACATATACAATGTATTTTTAGTATTAGTTTGAACCGATCAATTTGTTGCATAACATTATTACGATAACTTACCTGTATAAGAAGTTGACCACTTCTTGTATGAGGATTTCTATAGGCATAAAGTATCCATAGCAAGGCACACGACAACAAACATATGGGCACGAATACACCCAATGTTACGCCCATACTTTTACGTTCGGCCGATTCATCAACCATTGATTTCATTTGTGTACCAGTATGAAAATCTGTATTGGATTTCTCCAATGGTGTCTCCGTTGAGGTTGAGGATGTTTCTAAACCTGTAGGATTATAGGGTTTAAAGGGATGTAATGAATCATCTTTGTGATTACTATTGTTAGTGGTGTTACCATCTACAACTGTTGTAGATGTTGTATTATCATTTTGATTGGCATTATTACCCTTTTGACCGATGGCAGGACAGAAGGTTTCTTCGGTTACAAAGTTGCGATCACAGCCTAAAGAAAACAGGAAATGAATATGAAAGTGATTTGAATGTTATTGTGTAAAGTAATAAGAGAGAAAAGAAAGCGAAGTAGAAAACTGTGTATGTTATTTATGTAAGATATTTACCACGGGCTAGCCAATCTTGTTTTTTGCGATCTGTACCGGTGGAACATCTGTTTAAGTTTGGACACCATGTACACTGAAAATAATAAAAAAAAACGTACAATTTAATTGTAATATGTAAAAGCTTGGACTCAAATAAAACTTTATTATTATAACAATTTCAAATTTGTTCGAACATAAGTTCGAATAGCAAATGTTTCGCTTATTTAAGAGTAAACGACAAGAAATGAGTAATTTGCAATCTCCTTAGCAACTAGACTTTTCTAAAAAATAAATACGGGAATTTAACTTTTGCTCCCTTTGCATAAAATTTATGTTCAAATACCAAGAAAAATCCCTCAATTTATTATAATTTATTCTACGAATTTATAAATCTTTGACTAGATTTTATATAAAAACAAAACAACAACAAAGAACGCAAGACAATAGAAGATAAAACAATCAAAACTAAGAATATATTTCAATGTATAAAATCTATATAGAAAAGAAAAGAAGAAAAAAAAACCAGAATACTTACATTAAATGCAGTGACATGATTTACACATGAGGCACAATCGGTATATTCAAGACAAGTGGGTAAAGCTTTCAAAGTGATGATTGTGGAATTTGTAATCTCGGCATTGGCAAAATTAACTCTATGATATTCATAAATTGTTTTTCTACGAGCGACTATAAATTAGTAAGAAAACAAAAAAAAAACACAAACAAATATATTAAGAAAACCTCATCATTTAAATTAACAAAATGAAAAAATACTTACAGTAGACAACTTTGTCAATAATATAGGCATCGGAGAGACCAACCTTGACAGGATGTTTGTCATCTTGTATGGCATTAACAAAAATCGGCACTGAGAAATAAGTAAAAACAATATCACCATTTTTATGCAATGTGGCACTAAAAGTGAATTTGCCCACTTCTGGTTTATCTTGTAGATTAACATTTTCCCAAATGACTGTAAAACTGGAACCTAAAAATCAAAATTGAAATTAATATTCATAAATATTAACTTATCTTTAAAGAAAATAATTAACTTACCGGTATCATTTAGACGCACATATGAATCATTTGATAGACTGGTATCGAAATTGGCCATAAGTGGAGCTATATATTGTGTTGCCGCTAACCAAGAGTGTACATAATCGCCAGTGTAAATAAAGCCACCAGTGGCCACGGTAACATTTCTTACAGGATGACCATAGAAGGGAAAATCGAAACTCAAAACAACAGTCTAGAAGATTAGAAGAAACAAAATGAACATAATTGTAAGTATAATTGAAGGTAAATTCGTGTTATTTATTTTCTCTTGATTAACAGAAGACAAAAACTAATGTATCATCTGAACCTATACAGTTAGTTTAAAATGTTTCACTTTAAACCTTCTATATAGCTTTCCCATTTAAGTGACAGTTGATTTGTTTTAACTGACATGCAAAAATAGCAATTAAGTGTAAATTAGCAACGTGACTGTCTTGTAAATTAAGTTAAAAATAAATTGACTCATCTATTTTATGTCAACATTAGATAAAAATTATTACAGCATTCAAAATCTAAAAATTCCACTTACCATAGCTCTACGATGTGATTGTGATAACATCCAGTTAGGGGACATATTTTTAATTTCATTCCAGTATGTATCAGCTTTTTCTTTGTCCACAACAATTGTACTATTATAGTAATGATGATGATCCTATAATAAACAAAATTAAATGTCAATTAGAAACAACAAAATACTACCTTTCTCACAACCCACCTCAGTTTGATTCACCGTTAAATTATTATGTTTCAAAGCATCTAATGTCTCATTCTCGGGCACATCTATGGTATCGATAATTTTCTCTTCCTCAGTTTCCTCCTCTTTCTGTACACCAGCTGCCACTGTTGCCGCAACTGTACCACCACCTACTGCAGCTCCAGCTGCAACTGTTGCTCCTGTTTTTGTTAATGTTGCCGAAGCTCCCAACGTTGAACCTAAAGCTTTTTTAGGATATTGATTAAGATTTTTCTTTGCATCACTACTACTGCTACCGTCATCATTATTGGCTTTTATCGTTTCTGGTTGTACGGTAGTACTTGCGACTTTTGTGGCTTTATCGGTCATATCTTTACGTTGTCCCGTACCATTGACACCCAAAAGGGGTCGATTACTGTAGGGCACAACAACGGGTGTGGCCGCTGAACCAGATGCAGTGGCATTGAGTTGTGCTGAGGCTGTTGCTATGGTTGGACTTGGTGTGTTTTGAACACTTTCATATTGAGTCTTTTTGTCGTCTGGAAAAGGGGAAAATCATTAAAGAAAATAAAAAACTGTAGTCTAGTTTATAGTCTTAACTATAGAGTAGTCTAGACTATAGTCTGGCCAATAGTCTAGTCAATAGTCTTGACTTAAGTCTAGTCTATAGTTTAGCCTATAGTCTGGACTATAGTAGGCTAGTCTAGTCTACAGTTTAGGCTATTATTTCTATATGCGGTCTAGTATATAGTCTGTATTCTAGTCTATAATCTGGTCTAGTCTATAGTCTAGTCTATAGTCTAGTCTATAGTCTAGTCTATAGTCTAGTCTATGGTCTAGTCTATAGTCTAGTCTATAGTCTAGTCTATAGTCTAGTCTATAGTCTAGTCTATAGTCTAGTCTATAGTCTAGTCTATAGTCTAGTCTATAGTCTAGTCTATAGTCTAGTCTGTAGTCTAGTCGTAGTCTAGTCTATAGTCTAGTCTATATTCTAGTCTATAGTCTAGTCTATAGTCTAGGTCTGTAGTCTAGTCTATAGTCTAGTCTATAGTCTAGTCTATAGTCTAGTTATAGTCTAGTCTATAGTCTAGTCTATAGTCTAGTCTATAGTCTAGTCTATAGTCTAGTCTATAGTCTAGTCTATGGTCTAGTCTATAGTCTAGTCTATAGTCTAGTCTATAGTCTAGTCTATGGTCTAGTCTATAGTCTAGTCTATAGTCTAGTCTATAGTCTAGTCTATAGTCTAGTCTATAGTCTAGTCTATAGTCTAGTCTATAGTCTAGTCTATAGTCTAGTCTATAGTCTAGTCTATAGTCTAGTCTATAGTCTAGTCTATAGTCTAGTCTATAGTCTAGTCTATAGTCTAGTCTATAGTCTAGTCTATAGTCTAGTCTATAGTCTAGTCTATAGTCTAGTCTATAGTCTAGTCTATAGTCTAGTCTATAGTCTAGTCTATAGTCTAGTCTATAGTCTAGTCTATAGTCTAGTCTATAGTCTAGTCTATAGTCTAGTCTATAGTCTAGTCTATAGTCTAGTCTATAGTCTAGTCTATAGTCTAGTCTATAGTCTAGTCTATAGTCTAGTCTATAGTCTAGTCTATAGTCTAGTCATAGTCTAGTCTATAGTCTAGTCTATAGTCTAGTCTATAGTCTAGTCTATAGTCTAGTCTATAGTCTAGTCTATAGTCTAGTCTATAGTCTAGTCTATAGTCTAGTCTATAGTCTAGTCTATAGTCTAGTCTAGTAGTCTAGTCTAGTCTATAGTCTAGTCTATAGTCTAGTCTATAGTCTAGTCTATAGTCTAGTCTATAGTCTAGTCTATAGTCTAGTCTATAGTCTAGTCTATAGTCTAGTCTATAGTCTAGTCTATAGTCTAGTCTAATAGGTCCTAGTCTATAGTCTAGTCTATAGTCTAGTCTATAGTCTAGTCTATAGTCTAGTCTATAGTCTAGTCTATAGTCTAGTCTATAGTCCTAGTCTATAGTCTAGTCTATAGTCTAGTCTATAGTCTAGTCTATAGTCTAGTCTATAGTCTAGTCTATAGTCTAGTCTATAGTCTAGTCTATAGTCTAGTCTATAGTCTAGTCTATAGTCTAGTCTATAGTCTAGTCTATAGTCTAGTCTATAGTCTAGTCTATAGTCTAGTCTATGTCTAGTCTATAGTCTAGTCTATAGTCTAGTCTATAGTCTAGTCTATAGTCTAGTCTATAGTCTAGTCTATAGTCTAGTCTATAGTCTAGTCTATAGTCTAGTCTATAGTCTAGTCTATAGTCTAGTCTATAGTCTAGTCTATAGTCTAGTCTATAGTCTAGTCTATAGTCTAGTCTATAGTCTAGTCTATAGTCTAGTCTATAGGTCTAGTCTATAGTCTAGTCTATAGTCTAGTCTATAGTCTAGTCTATAGTCTAGTCTATAGTCTAGTCTATAGTCTAGTCTATAGTCTAGTCTATAGTCTAGTCTATAGTCTAGTCTATAGTCTAGTCTATAGTCTAGTCTATAGTCTAGTCTATAGTCTAGTCTATAGTCTAGTCATAGTCTAGTCTATAGTCTAGTCTATAGTCTAGTCTATAGTCTAGTCTATAGTCTAGTCTAGTCTAGTCTATAGTCTAGTCTATAGTCTAGTCTATAGTATAGTCTAGTCTAGTCTAGTCTAGTAGTCTATAGTCTAGTCTAGTCTAGTCTAGTCTAGTCTAGTCTATAGTCTAGTCTAGTAGTCTAGTCTATAGTCTAGTCTAGTCTAGTCTAGTCTAGTCTAGTCTAGTCCTAGTCTAGTCTAGTCTATAGTCTAGTCTATAGTCTAGTCTATAGTCTAGTCTATAGTCTAGTCTATAGTCTAGTCTATAGTCTAGTCTATAGTCTAGTCTATAGTCTAGTCTATAGTCTAGTCTAATAGTCTAGTCTATAGTCTAGTCTATAGTCTAGTCTATAGTCTAGTCTAGTCTAGTCTAGTCTATAGTCTAGTCTATAGTCTAGTCTATAGTCTAGTCTAGTCCTATAGTCGTCTATAGTCTAGTCTAGTTCTAGTCTAGTCTATAGTCTAGTCTATAGTCTAGTCTATAGTCTAGTCTATAGTCTAGTCTATAGTCTAGTGTATAGTCTAGTGTATAGTCTAGTCTATAGTCTAGTCCTATAGTCTAGTCTATAGTCTAGTTATAGTCTAGTGTATAGTCTAGTCTATAGTCTAGTCTATAGTCTAGTCTATAGTCTAGTCTATAGTCTAGTCTATAGTCTAGTCTATAGTAGTCTAGTCTATAGTCTAGTCTATAGTCTAGTCTATAGTCTAGTCTATAGTCTAGTGTATAGTCTAGTCTATAGTCTAGTCTATAGTCTAGTCTATAGTCTAGTCTATAGTCTAGTCTATAGTCTAGTCTATAGTCTAGTCTATAGTCTAGTCTATAGTCTAGTCTATAGTCTAGTCTATAGTCTAGTCTATAGTCTAGTCTATAGTCTAGTCTATAGTCTAGTCTATAGTCTAGTCTATAGTCTAGTCTATAGTCTAGTCTATAGTCTAGTCTATAGTCTAGTCTATAGTCTAGTCTATAGTCTAGTCTATAGTCTAGTCTATAGTCTAGTCTATAGTCTAGTCTATAGTCTAGTCTATAGTCTAGTCTATAGTCTAGTCTATAGTCTAGTCTATAGTCTAGTCTATAGTCTAGTCTATAGTCTAGTCTATAGTCTAGTCTATAGTCTAGTCTAGTCTATAGTCTAGTCTATAGTCTAGTCTATAGTCTAGTCTATAGTCTAGTCTATAGTCTAGTCTATAGTCTAGTCTATAGTCTAGTCTATTAGTCTAGTTCTATAGTCTAGTCTATAGTCTAGTCTATAGTCTAGTCTATAGTCTAGTCTATAGTCTAGTCTATAGTCTAGTCTATGTCTAGTCTATAGTCTAGTCTATAGTCTAGTTTATAGTCTAGTCTATAGTCTAGTCTATAGTCTAGTCTATAGTCTCGACTATATTCTAGTCTATAGTGTGGTTATATAATAGTGTAATATTTAGTCTATAGGACTGGACAGTCGCTTATTTTACAGCAAACAAATTTACATTTGTAGGAAATAAGTTTTCGCACAAATCTCTCTGAAAATCACTAGAAAACAATAAATCTGTATTAAGTTTTTGATTAATTTCAACACAATTCATAACAACTATTATAATTAAATGTTATACTATTTTCACCAACCAATTAATGTTGCATTAAACTTGTTATTATAATTACACCTTTGACATTTAGAGCGATTATTTTTATGGTCACTTAAAAACACCTATTTATGCAAATAATATTACGCATTTTCAATGTGTGCAAAATAGACCATAATCTCATTATCAATATTCTATTATTATTAAAAGAGAAAACATTATGAATAATAAATAAAAAAGTAAAACAGAAAAAGTAAATTTATTTGCCATCATAGTGGGGTGCACATTATGGAATACGTACTTTAACAATATGGAGCTTGTAAGTATTGCGTTTCAGTTTTTTTTATTACTATTTTTTTGCTATAATTACAAATAGGAAGTTGAAAACTTTACTCAAACCTATTAACATAACATTAATAGAAAATCGATTTTCTTTTTTTTTTCGTTGTTGTTTAATGTTGATACTTTCCTCTATTATGCCGCATACTATTCAAGCGATACGTATTGGTTAGAGGTGAATGTAGTTTCCGAAGATTTGGAAAAATTAATTTAAATATAAATTTTCGGCATATAGTGAATGTAAACAAAGTTATTTATAAAATTTTTGCAAATGGTTTGAAATCTGAAATTAAAATATCAAATTATTTTCAAACCTAAACAAACATTTTTGCACTCACCCAATAATTAATAATATCAAAAGAAACAGTAGGACATGAAAATTACAATATTTAATGGAAATAAAACACGCTTTGCCCTTAATAAATCCATAAATGCGTAGATGTTATAAAACGAATAAAATGTTACAAATATGTGCACAAAAAAAAAATGTCCACGAAAAACATCAAGAAATAAAAAACAAATAATAAAAACAACATAACAAAACATACTAGCCCCTTTTAAAAGACATTTGAATGGAAATATTTTCAAAAACTTCTTAGTTTTTCTAATTTTTTAGGAAAATGTCATAAAAAGAGAGTCATTCAATTTGGGGGGGGTTGGTGTTATGTTAAAAATTAGCCTAATAGAGAAAGAAAACATTTTTGTACAAGTTTTCTTGGTCTATTTATATTTAACAATATGGTCAAATAGTTTGAACCTTATGAACAAAGTTTTCTTTAATAAAATTAAATGACACTGTATGGACAACAACAAAAAATGTATACTGAATAAATGAATATTTTATTAATTTTTGTTTAGAAAATATTCTAAGCATAATAATAGCATAAAATTTTAAGACGTTTAGAGAGGTGTTATTTGTCTTAATGATTTGAAGTAATTTTTAAACCAAAATTTTGAACTAGATCTTAAATCACTAGGTTTAAGGCCGAAAATTTCACAATGCCAGTTATCTCACATATTTATAAAACTTTGGAGCAATCTAAAGAACTATAGGCTAGACTAAAGA